CTCAGGCCCGCATCCGCCCACCACCAAATGCCGCCACGCAGGCCCACCGCGCCCCAGTCCCGCCTCACGGACCGAGGGGTCGGCTTTCGCTATGCCGACATCGACGCGCCACCAGTTCCCCCTCGCCCCACTGCCTCGGAGCGGGCCCGTGCGGCGGCGCCCGCTTTCTGTTGGGGCCGTCACGCGAGACCCGCTTCTTCCTTTAGAGTATTAGAGATTTAGAGTATTAGAGAGAAGAAGAAGAAGAAACGCGTAAAAGTAAATAGAGAAAGACAAGAATAGCGTGCAAAGCTGCAAGCTGTATTCTGTTGGTGATGGTGGGTGATGGTGGGTGATGGTGGGTGATGGTGGGTGATGGTGCTATATGATGTGCTATTGTTGCTATAGAAGGTGATGTTGCTATATGATGTGCTATTGTGTTTTGGGGGAAGGTGCACTCACCCACCTTGGCAATTGTATGGTTGGATGGCATGCAATTTTTCGCCGCAACACCTGGCTTTGGAAAATGATGTACTGCTTTATTGCTATTTGCAGTGGCTGACGAGCCTGACGTGGATCTGGTGGATGGTCTGTTTGATTGTCTTGCGGCTTCCCGAAGAGTATGGAAGAGAAGATCGCCAGACTAAAGGAGTTGGGTTTCGATCATGATGCTGTTGTTGAAGCGCTGACGTTGTTCGCCGGCAACGAGCAAGCAGCAGCAAGCTTTTTGTTCGGTGGGTAGAGACTCGAGAGAGTCTAGAGACCCTTTTGTTTACGGGCATGTTCCACGCAAAACGCTGAGGCAATGGTAAGCTTGTTGTTTTCAAATTTTGAATTTTTGAGTAATATATGAGCAGCAGCTTGAAATGGTTTGAGTCTGAAATCAGGGGGTGGCGCCGGGGCCGGGGTGGGAATCGACATCCGAGGTGACCAGAGTTTTTACTTTTTTAGCTGAGAAATGCTCCCATGCCCTGTTGTTAACAGGCAGTTGTCAGTTCTAACAGGAGGAAAGTTGCAGGAAACCCTTTGTTATTATGTTTTAGTAATGGTCTGATTATGTTTTTGTTTTGTTTTTTCTTTTTTCTTTTTTTTAGTTGCTAGGGATGCTGATAAGAGCAGTCACCACTAGCAAGCTGGGGGAGGCTCAGTAATGGTCTGAACAGTGGAATTGCGGCATCATCATGTTTGTGTGCTGATGATGTCAGGAGCATCGACCAGTGTACTCCTAAACCACGACCTCTGGGATGGGAGCCCTCGTCTGCAGATAGGGAACAAAGGGAAAACTGTGCCCTTTGGGTCATCAGTGGAACGGACCAACTGAAAAAGCGCTGGGCTCTTGCTCACCGGGCCGGTCATCAAAGGTGGGTGGTGTGGTGGTTTGAAGTTCAAACTCTGTGGCTGTGATTAACTTTCTGACTGTAGATATAGGGCGGCTCGCTCTTCACAGGGTAGGAGGGGTATCAGTGGCTGCAGGGTCAGGTAACGGAGGGGGGTTGATGATCGAGAGATTTTCGTTTGGGGGTATGGTCACGGCAGCTTCGAAACAGGCTCGGCAAGCGTTCTGGCGCGGAGGGGGGTGATGAACGAGAGATTTTCGTTTGGGGGTATGGTCACGGCAGCTTCGAAACAGGCTCGGCAAGCGTTCTGGCGCGCTGAGGTTTCGGGGCTTGCACCCGGTGCATCTCAGAATAAGAGACTGTGCTGTCTAGCTGTCAGTTCCCAGATGCATGCGATCGAAAGTTCTTGCTGGCGGCGAGCACGCGAGAACCGAGCCTTCTAGTGGGGACAGCGAGACGGCGGTCCTCCGTGATGTGATTGTCGTCAACTCACAAGAGAGAGGAACTTACTGGAAGCGTCGATTCTTGCATTTTTCTGCCATGGGTTCTAACCTACCTGGACAGTGCTGGAAGTTTGGAACAGGGTGAATACACTGAATAGACAGCAGCCATTGATTGTGCCATGGTGGCGCGCCAGTCACAGGTGAGGCAGCAAATTGCTCATGTTATCAGTGTTATAGAAGTTATATATTGCTCGCAATAGTTTGATGGGTTTGCTAACGTCAGTCGGGTACTCGTGTGGAGGAGTGGAATACAGATAAGCATGGGGGAGAAGTTTGGAACGTTGCCTCTCCTCGTCAGGGCTCGGCCGTCTGTTGATATTATTTCTTTTTTCTTTTTCTTTAATTAAAAAACGAAGTGATTTTTGTGGCAGTGCTGGGCAGTCGTGGGCTATGCATAGTCTTGCAGTCACTTTCTGCAACAGAGACGGTTGAGTTGTACTGTTCTTTTTTTCTTTGTTCGTTTTTGTTTAACAACTCGGCTGAGCCTACTCTGGGGAGCGATATGAGCATCTCCCCCCAAGTAGGCCATCCGGTGGTGGCCCCATTCTATTGGTGGGGGTCGGCACCTGCTGGAAGTCGGGTCCAGCATCCCACACTTGAGATGTATCAAGGTGTATATTGAAGAGAAATTGGCTTATGCTTTCAGGAGCGTTCTTTTCTGTTTTCTTGTTTTTATGCTCATGTTCGCTGAAATGGGAAGAAGGAAAATGCATGCCAATACTGTTCGTCTTTGTCCCGAGAGAAATTTGGGCAAAAATGTTGGCGTGTATAATATATATCATGTCATTCCCTTTTCCCGTTCAAACGTCCAATGATGTTTCTATCCTTTGATTGTCTTATTCCTCCTTGCCTGCAAAGTTGTGTGGCATCCAGATGGTCTGGACCTGGATGTCCGGGTCTGGCTTTTTGGTCCCGTAGTCTGGATGCGCTCCCCCTCCCCCTCCCCCCCCC